TGAAAAAGAATGAGGAGCGTATTGAGGAGGAAAAGAGAAGAGGAGATGAGTTAGAAAGCCAATTGTCATCCTTGATGCTTGTATGAAAAAAAATCCCAATTTAATGTGTGTGTTGAGAATGACGATGATTATTTTAAGCAACGAAGAGAGTGTGTGGATCCAATTGGTGAGCATATGAGTGATGGTGAAGGAGTTGACAATGATGAGAGTGTTAATTTCGAATACCTCAACCCTACTTTAAAAAATGCCAATTTAAGGACATGATTCTTACATATATGAGAGGTCAATTAGAGATAATGAAAAAGAATGAGGACCATATTGAGGAGGAAAATAGAAGAACAAATGAGTTAGAAAGACAATTGTCATTCTTGATGCTTGTATGTGAAAAACACCAATCAAATGTGTGTGTTGAGGATGTTGATGATGATTTTGAGCATCTAAGGAGTTTGAGGACCCCTTTGGTGAGAATTTATGTGATGTTGAAGGAGTTGAGAATGAAGAAAGTCTCTTATGAATGATGTGATTCTTCTATTCATGTGTATTTGGACTTGATTGAGGTTATGACCAATGTGTTCTTTCAGTTTCAAATGAAAACTCATAACCTTTTGAGTGAGTTCATCAAGAATGCTTCATGGGAGAGAGATTATTTTGAAATGAATTTATATCCATTCATGCATGGCTTTGAGACTTTAGGCTTTAAGGAAGTCGAGGGAGTTGTTGTTCATGATTCTAGTGAAGGGGATTATGTAGTTCCTCTTGGAAGTTGGATGTTTGAGGGAGTTGGAGATCATGAGTGTTCTTCTTTTGAGGATTCTATGATTGATTTACATGCTCTTATTGGTGATTTGAGGCATGGTGGTGAGGAAGAGATCATTAGTGAGACCATAACCCCTATTCCCTCCTCACATGTCCCATTTTCAAGGAGGTTTGACCATATCCCTTACACTCCTATTTCCCTCCCTTCCTTTATTGATAAGCCTATTGGGGACCCCCTTGTCTATAATAATTTACATGTGCCTCATTCGTCCCCTATTGAGGAAAGGGGTGATGTAGCCACCCAAAAATATTTTGAGGAAAGTTTGCTTTCTTCTTCTTTTTCATTTTCTTATTTTGCTAAATTTTCTTTTGATTATTCTTCTTGGAAACTCCTTCTTCACTTTCTTTTGCGAGAACTAATCTTGCTGCATTCTCTTCTAACATCATTTTCCTACCTATTATCATACGAAATGTGTAGTAGTGCATTTGACAAGCTCTTGTGTGCGTTGAATTATTATTTTTCTAGAGCGGTAAGGCTTGGACCTTAAGCAAACCTTTCTCAGGAAGTAACCCTTGTTTTATTGCTTTCACTTTCTTTTCTTTTTAGAATAGATTTTCTCTCATGGAAACGTTTATGTGTCTTTTGCTAGGTACATGACTTGATATACTTTGGTGCTTCAATTTGGATCAAGAATCAAGGAAGTTTGACTCCTATTTTTGCTAGCATATGGAAGAAAAGGTTCAATTCTTAAGGAAACTAGCTTTGAAAAGTCTAATTAGGTCATATGCGGGTATTTACACCCACTTAACGTTCGGTAATATCTTTCTTTGCTCCTTCTCTAATAGTTGATGCCTTGTTAGACATGTGTTCGTATTGTTGGATTGATCTCTTTTTTTTCCCTTCCCGTGGAATATTTGATTTATGTTTGAGCATGTTGTCTCATTCAAGCTTGGGAGAGGGTATTCTATCATGTTTGGTGGAATGTTGATACATATATGCCATGCACATTTGGATATGCATTTCCATGTTCTATATCTTAAAAAACTCCAAAAACATTTTTGTTTCTACCAAGGCAAATTTGCAATGTATCATTGTTTTGTTCTTGCTTTGGACTTAATACTTTTGGACTTGTATAGTTTAATGTTTTTCTTCTGAATTGGTAATGGTGTGCACGGTTTGAGAGTATGCTTGGTTGATTCAAGGATAAAGCATTCTAAGGTAGTTGGTTAGAACTAGTGGGACCATGAAACTGGATTCTACTTTTTTGTGGCATGTTGGTAGTTGCTTCCTATAGTCGAATTGACACCAATAGTGAGTTTTTGCTTCATCCATGTGAGGTTCATTTTTTTTTTCAAGCCTTCAACATATATTTGCATGAGCGGCATGGATCCTTGACTATTGCGGACCTAATCTAGAATCTTGACTCATAATTCTCAAACTCGAAGACGAACCATCTAAGGAGGATAAAGGCATCTTTTCGGGGTGGTAATTTTTCTTTTCTAGGATAGTTTTCTTATTTTTGGTTTTTAGGTTTACGTTTGCCTACTTGCTAATCATTTGAGCCTTTTCCTTTCTTTTCAAGCCACATCTTTAGATCTTGAGTCTTTTTTTTCACTTTCGTTTCCATTCTTGGTTTTTGTGAAGCAATTGATCATTATTGTTGGAGTTTGTGGTGGAGCAGTTTGGATATTTTGTTCTCTTGAAAGCAAGTTTTTGTTGTGATTTTTGTGTAAATAATGGCTAATGAATAAATGAAAAAGCCATCCAAAGTAAAAAAAAAAAAAAAAAGGCAAGGACAAAGCAAATGCAAACTTGAAAAAGCCGTCCAAAGTTAAAAGAGGCGAGGACAAAGCACTAATAAAGAATAAAAAAAGAGAGAAAACAAAACAAAGTGAAAAATGAAAATATGCAAAAATATTTTGATGTGATTATCCTTCTCCCTGTTTAGAGCATTGAGGAAAATGCTCCATTTAAGCTTGAGAGGAAACGTTCTCACGCTTTTTGTGTATAAGTTTGTGAGTATAGCTTTGAATAAGCTTGGGGATGTTGTTCTCTTTTTGTTTGCTGATACTTGATTATGGTGTTGAGGATTGATCACCCATTGCTTCACTAATTAGGAATACCACCAAATTCTAAATTTTAAGCCTACCCTCAACCTTTTTCTCTTACATTACAACCTTTGGGAAAATCCTTTTGACCTAGAGGTTGAGTCACATATCGGGGGAGGGCATTATGCGTTAAAGCCTAAGAAAAGGGGATGCATTGTCAAGACGTCGAGTAGCCAAAAAATTATCTCTTTTTCCGGTTCCTTCGTGGAACTTTTAAGATGCTCACTAGGGGAAGATATGAAGCTAGTAGGAAGAAAGCGATAAGACCATTTGGGATGAAAGTGGATTGTGTTTTTCTAGTTCCTATGCTTAGCATATTTATGTTTCAATCAACCTCGGGTATCTTAGAACGTGCACTCCCTTGCTTTGTTAGAAAGATTTGCATTCATTTGTGCTTGTATATTTGGAAAAGACCTTTAATGAACATTTGTTTGCTTTTCTTGTATTTTGAATCCTTCTCATGCTTTGCCTTTTTTGTATTATTATGAGAGTTATAGGTTAATCTCATAGGAAACCTTTACGAGAGCATCACTCGTCCTCTAGGAAAATTTAGGGGTTTAAATGGCTTGACTTTAGTTTCTAAAATTGATCGTGATTCCCACAAAAGTGAGTTAGTGTATATTCTCATCCTCTCTAATTTTCTTGTTTATTTATTTGCTTGAATAATTTCATAATTTTTCCCGAGCACCTAGCCTCGCTGCCCAAGCTATCACGTGCGCAGCACTCGAGCAGCCACGCGCGTAGCAGCCATGCGCAATAGCACAACCGCACACCCAGTAGCTCAGCAAGCAGTCGTGGGCTGGCGGGCCGCGGGGCGGGTGGATGTCGCATTAAACCACAAAATTCCGTGTAGGAACTCAGTGCGGGCTGGCAGCAGGTACCCCGCGGGGGCGGGCCTAGCCCGCGAGCGCGGGCTTTGGTCGCGGGCGCGGCTTCCCTCGTGCTTTGTTCTCCACCGCGAGCGAGGCCGATTTCTTCGTGGACGCGGCTTTCTAGGTTTTATTTGCGATTTAACTTCTTTTCTCCATTTGTATATATATTGTACGACCTTCTTTATTCTTTAGACATGTAATTCTTTTGTTTTGGAATAGTTTTCTCTCTTCTCTATGAAGGATTAGGTTAGTTTAGGAGTCTCTCTCTAGATTAGGAGTAGTTTTAGAGAGAGAAAGTGAGGGATTTTAATGGTTATTGAGAGATTGAAGATACAAGGGTGACAATTGTGTTGAAGATCTTCTCTATTATCAATGAGCATTCTTAAATCTATCTCATCTTATTGCTTTGTTTATTTTCATGTTTGTTTGGTTTTATTTTGATGTTTGATTCTTGATTAGTGTAGTTGTTCTTGAAACATTGTTGATTCTTGACTTCCAAGTTGTTAGTTGATAGATGATGAGTCTTGAATAGTTGTTTAGCTAGGAATTGGGTGAAATTTGTATGATTGATTAATTGTTATTAATTTGGGAATTGTGTTGATTGATGGTTGAGATTAAAGTGAATAATGAAGGTTTGCATGTGTGTAATTCAATTAGGCTTTGAGAATTATACTAGATTGCAATGTAATTGCTAATGACACGAACAATTGATTTAGGAATTGCAATTATCGATTGGTTTTGATTGTGATTCTCTTAGTTTGTTATTCATAGTGAACCCTAGCTTAACAATTAGGACACTACTAGAAAAAAGACTAATGGCAACAACAATAATTCGTTACCATATGTCTTATTAATGTTTCCATATGCCTATAGCAACGAATTATAAACTGTTACCAATAGGTGTCGTTGCTAAAACTCTTCGGCAACAACTTTCATGCATTAGGCAACAGTTATTATAAACTGTTGTTGTAAATAACTATGGCAACGCTTTTCTTAGGTAGCACTTTTTAACTTATGCTAACACTTATTTAACAACTTTAGGCAACATTTTCAAAGTTAAAGCAACAATTTTCGCTAATTTAAAGCAACACTTATTAGCTTGATACTAATTGATATTTAAAATTAAGGCAACACTTTATTTTGTTTATGGCAACGCTTCCAATTGAAACTAAGGCGACACTTTTAAACCTGTTAATGGCAACGCTTTTAATTGGCATTAAAACAATAGATTATATACTGCGTATAATAAATAAATTTCTTAAATAGCATATAATCGATTAGTACAAGTTCTCCATAAAAATTTATACGTAGTTAATTCAAATCAATTCTAAATGATAAGCTAAATATTTGTTACAAACAACAAAAACATTTAATCTAAATATTTCATACATTAATCTAATAAAAATTCCAAAACCAAAATAAAAATAAAAAAAAAATTAAAAAAAAAAAAACCAATCTAATATTTTTGCTTAAATTCCAATAGATCTTTAGATGTTTGATGGAGCACTTGATACTTGGATATAAATAATCTCCTGCAAAACAACAATAATAATAATAATAAGACTCTTATATTCAATTAAAAAAAAATATCAAATGAATTATTTATGGAAAATTATTATCAAAATAATAGAAATTACTATTGTAGTGAGTAAATAATGAAAAAAAAAATCATCTAAAAAAGGCAAGATAGAGTTACCGTAGCAACATCACAAGAGTATAAGGAAGTAAAATCAAAGGATCATAAATTTGTATAATCATAGATACTACAATATCAAAATACTAGCACAATTTCGCTAAGCTAGGATCATAAATTTTGATGCCTATCTTCGAGAAGAGGAAAGAGATTGAGTTTTTAATCGTATAATTAAATAAGCAAATTGCGAGTAAGCACATATTTACAACACAAAGATCAAGTTTCTTGATTATCCATTATACCATATAAAGTAGTACTTGAACAATATTAAATAAATATGTAAATCACTAGCATGCATATATGAGCTTCTTAACATCCTGCAAATTCCAAGGCCTTTTTTAGCATATGCACAAACATAAAAATACATAATTCAAACCACCTAAGTATGATCTTTAATCTGACATCCAACTCAGCAAGCAAAGGTATTTTATGTTAACTAGTATAGATTCCCAACAATCACGCTGCTTATCTCTAGTGTGTTTACTTTATTTAGAACTTCAATAATATAATACACCATTTCAAATTCTTCAATCACATGTAACCGTGTAAAAAATGAAAAAGAGAAAAGGAATGTAACATGTAAAATGGAATAACATACCTGTTCTTAATCTTAAATAATATAGTTTATGGATCATTTGTAGTGGTTGAAACGATAGCTTTTGCAATAATTTCCGGAGTCAAGCTAGGATCTTTTTGGCGTAGTTTTGCAAGTGCTGATATTACTGCATCAAGAGTTATATTTCCTTGCTGATTTTCAATATCCATGCGTATCTCTTGTAGTTTTAAGGTCTCAGATTCAAGATCCTTTGTTTTCCTCTCTATTTCAGCTTCTTGTGCAGCAACTTGTGCAGCATGAACTTCTTTTTCCTTGGCAAATTCTTCAATTTGAGCATTTATATCCTTTTGAACATCAGCAGTTACAGAACTTTTGATAGACTTCATGACCTCTTCTGGTAGAATCAAAGAGGTACCAGGTCCTTTATCTTTTCGCTTCTTACGATTGGCACCAAGGCCTTGTAATAATTCTGTACCTCGACGTGCATTTCCCATAACTTCATCAAATGGATCCTTAACATATTCACCACTCTGATCATCTTGAGAAGCTTCCAATTCCCTCATTGCTTGCTATAACAATTATTAAAAATGATAGGTGACAAAGTATACGATAAATTTATTCATTAAATAAATTAATAGGAATAATATAGTATTTACTATCTTCTGTTGTGTATCATCATAAGGTCGATCATAAGTTATTCCCTCCTTTTGTCGTCGAGTCTCTTCAAACATTCTTCTTTTTGATGGTGCCACACCATCTTTTTGTAGCTAATAAATAAACAAAAATAAATATATAAACAACATAGAATCCATGAAGTAAACAAATCGTAATATATGTGGAATGTATTTCGCACCAACTGCTCATGTTTCATGGCAAAGGAAACATGACCATTTGTATGTATGTTGTCTTGTTCATGCCGATTTTCAAAATTCTGCAAACTGGTTTTCTACATAAAATAAAAACGGATAAGCATAAAAGTCAAGACAAATTTAGAGAGTTCCTAATTGTTCAATTATACCTTTGCTATTGTTGTTCCCCAATAAGCTAAAAGTGTTTTGTAATGAGCTTCAGGCACTCTTTCCGGAGGATGCTTTAATCTCTCTTCATAGGTGTCATACATATAATAATGATCCCTTTTGAGGCGACATTTGAATCCTCTCCAAGATTGATCAAGAGTCTCCATTACCCAATCCTTAGCTTCAACTGGAAGGATGTATTTGCTCTAAAATAAAAGGTTAGGTTTATGTTATATAATACAGTATTGAAACACATATAAAAGTAAAATTATGTTATACACTCAAAACATTACAAATGAGAGAAAATAACACTTACATTCACAAATTCACAAATTTTCTCCTTTTTTGGAACTTTTTTCCAATTTGTGTATGTCAAGGGAGCCCAATTGTAATCATGAGCAATAGTTCCTAAGAATCTAGTTAGCTCTTTCCTTGCCTTTTCAGGCCCGATAGGTTGTCCTTTGTCATTACAGTAGATAGTTACGCGATCTTCCCATTTGCGAGCATGGACATCAAACAAATTTGAAGGACCTCGCCCTTTCTTCTTAGGAACTTTTATCCAAGTAAAAACAGAATAATTAATTCATAAGAAATTTGAGATAAAAATAAAGATTACAATCACAACTTTATTAATGAAATTACATGACATAAAAATTTCATAAGTAAACATGTGACAAGCATTCAATAGTTTTTTAGGCATTAACTAGATCAATTTGACAACTAAATTTAAAGAATTGCAATATGTTTTTGTATTGTATAATTCTAGAGAACTATGAAACCAAGTCTTATGCATCAGCAGGCCCTGCGTCAACAGCAGCAGAGCCTGCGTGCACTAGCGGGGTCCCCTTGATCAACACTAGCAGTCACATATTGCCTTGTGCACCAACAACAGCTTCCAGAGCAAAAACTCTACTCAAATAACTTCAACCCATACATAGTTATGTTTGATTGTATAATGGTAATTAGCTAGCAGTTTGTTCATTGTTTACTGCTAATCATTACTAATATGATAAGAGAAGAAGAAAATTATAGAAGGAGATTATAGAAAGCTCTCTAACCTTGGATTGCATGAATAAAAAGGTTACAAGACCATAAGATTTTTCATGATTTTAAAAAAGGGGAGGAGTATTGAATACAAACCTTGTGCGGAAACATATTCTCCTCGGCTTTCTAGTGGAATAATGGTCGAAAGCGGCGCTTAGAATTTTGTCGAACTTGCTCTAATTGTTGTACATCTTTCTCTATTTGTTGTCCTTCAGCTGGATCCATTTGATTTTGCGTAACAAGGAAATCATCCATTGCCATAGATGGGCACAATGGCTGCTTCTTATTCTTCCTAGGTGGTTGCTCTCTAGTTCTTTCCTTCTAACATCGGAACATCAAGGTAATTATTATCGAAGATAAACATGATCCCAAGAAGAAAATAAAAAAAAAATACGGAAAAAAGGAAAAAGTAACCTTCTTCTTAGGTATAGAGGTTGGTGCTTCAGTCAAAACATCTCTCTCTCTCTTTAGACATCTCAAACTCCTCGAGGTCACAATCTTCTTTATCAGGCACATAGTCTGGATCATCTACATTAGAATTCACATTCTTCTTTCCTTTTGCAAAGTTCTTATTTTTTTCCAACAGTTGCTGAGCAATCTTGTCGAGCCTTAACTCTCTAAACCTCTGGGCATTTTTTTCCATTGTCATGGACCAAACTTTCTCATAAGGTGTTATAATGGACTTTGAGGCAATTTCAGGCTTATTACTTCCATTCTTTGTCATTCTGCAAACAAATATTATAAACAGTTAGTGGAAATAAAAAGTTTAGACCTATCAAATAGCAGTTACTGCAAAATAGTAAGACATATTTTTTAAAATATAACACATACAGATATACTTTATACTTAAAAATCTATATCAGATACTTGACCAAAGAAAATATATTCAGGTTTTGGAAAAAAATTAGAAAAAACAATCTTATTCACTAAAAAGATAATAATTTTGAGGAAGTCCAAAGATGATAACTAATTACTGCTAACAAAAGCTAAATAAAAAAACAATCAACAAGTCTAATAACATAAGACAAATAATAATATGATAAATTCGCATTTTTTTTCTTAAATAAATACAATTGCTCAAGATTCATTAATAATCCTATGGATCATGAGCTGAAATATCATCAGTCGCATCCATCCAATCCCAATCTGTATCATCATAGTCAACGTCATCTTCAAGGTCATTAACATTCTTACACTCTGATAAATCTTCTATGTTCACAGCACGCACTTCAACATCAGCTACTACATGAATATGATTAGCATCAAAAGAAGGCATGTTATTAGAACTAGAATCAATAGGCTCCTCCTAATATGTTTCTTCATTTAGTGCTTCCTCAAAGTAAAAAATATCTCTTGGAACCCTTTTCATGACATATTGAATTTCTTTTTCTAATGGGTCTTGGGAATAGTATACTTGATGAACCTAAGAAGCCAATACAAATGGATCATCTTTGGAACATTTCTTCTTGAAATTGACATATGTAAGCCCAAATTCATCAATATCACCAAGAAACCAATCGCACTTAAATAACACAACGCTGAATTGAGACCAAAATTCCAACTCAAAAATTTCTTCTACAACATTATAGTAGGTAACATCTCCGTCAACGGGATTTCAATCCCTTGAACTGGCAAAACTTGAAGTCAAGGTTGTCAAAGTCATACCACTATTTTGAGTCTTTAATCGTGAATCACGTTCTCTAGTGTAGAACCTATAACCTTTGATAAAATACCCAGTGTACCTCCTAGCCTTAGGATTAAGACCCTTAGCTAACCAAAAAAGTTCCCCATTAACCTGCTCCCTTTGAACTTTTTCAAAAAACCAATCAATAAAATCTCTGATATGACTTTGTGCACTATCCCATCTACGCTTTCGACCTTGGCTATTCACCCAAATCTGATGTTTTCTAAATTATAAAAGCGAAAAAAAAATCATTATATTTATTAGATTAAATTATAAAAAAATCTAAACTGGAAATAAATTAAGAAAAAAAATCTTACTTGATGTATCTTTCAACTGTTGTATTGTCGCAATTGAAGACAATATATCTATGAGCTTGCTTCAGACTTTGGAAATCTAAAGTAAATCCTTTTCCTTTTCTCTTCCTTTTCCCTCTAATAGGATGTCCTACTTTAGGAAACAAAGATAATTCATCTACATGCTGATTAAAGGAAAGATTCCTAGCACATCTTCTTTCAAGTCTAGTGTTTACACCTTCACGCAAATATCGAGAAATAAATGTCAAACACTCTTCCATCATATACCCTTCTGCTATACTTTCTTCAAGATTACTCCTATTTCGAACATAGGACTTCAGCTTACCTAAATACCTCTCAACAAAGTACATCCATCGATATTGAACAGGTCCACCAAATTTGATTTCCTCTACTAAATGAACAGGTAGATGGATCATAACATCAAAGAATGCAGGAGGGAATATCATTTCAAATTGACAAAGTATATCGACAACTTCGGAAGCTAACCTATCTTATTCTTCGAGATCAACAATTTTACTACATATACCATGAAAAAAGTTCCCCAATCTAGTCAAAGGTACTGCAACATTTTTTGGCAATGTCTTCCTAACAGCAACTTGAAGCAAGTGATTCAATACGACGTGAGCATCATGAGTTTTGTAGCCTGAAAAATTCCTTTCTTTAACATGCACACACCTCCCAATATTTGATGCATACCCATAAGGTAACTTTGTTTCCTTAAGAACTTTGAGAAACAAATCCTTCTTTGTATTACTCATAGAATAAGGTGCTGGTGGAAATAGCATGTGGCTGCCATCTTCGGATGGATAAGGTTGGAGATCAAGATCCAACAAATCCAAACGTGCCTTATTGTGGTCTCTAGTCTTTCCTGGAATATCTAACAAAGTGCTAACAATATTATCGAAGAAATTTTTCTCGATATGGATGACATCTAAATTATGACGATATTTAATATTAGACCAATAAGACAGTTGAAGAAAGCATGATTTCTTTTTCCATGGACTCTTACCACCTCCACCTTTACTGTTCTTCCCAAAATCATTTTCAAAGTTTTCTAATTCATTCATCAAATCATTACCATATAACGGAGAAGGTGCACACCTATCCTCTACTTTTCCATTAAATGAATTTGTATCTTTCCGCCAAGGATTATCCATATCAAGATGCCTTCGAATATCCATGTAACAATTCTTTCTGTTGTGATTCAAGTATTTAGGTTCCACATCATGGTTACAATTAGGGCATGCATAATTTCCTTTAGTAGACCATCAAGACAACATGGAATAAGCCGGGAAATCATTTATTGTCCCCATTAATGCAGCATGCAATTTAAATGATTGTTTTTTAGATGCATCATAAGTCTCAACCCCAAATTCCCATAATTCCTTTAATTCGTCAATTAGTGGTTGCAAAAAAACATCTATATCATTCCCAGGGGACTTAGGGCCAGGAATTAACAAAGACAACATAAAATATTCCGGTTTCATGGAAACCCAGGGTGGAAGGTTGTAATTAATTAACACAACAGACCATGTGCTGTGAGCAACACTCATAGTTCGAAATGGATTAAATCCATCACTAGCAAGAGCTAAACGTACATTTCGTGCTTCATTTTTAAAGGCAGGATATGATGAATCAAAGTCCTTCCAAGATTGGGCATCTGTTGGATGTCTAATTTTGTCATCTTTCATTCGGCCTTTATCATGCCAAACCATTTGTTCAGCTGTTTTAGAACACACGAATAATCTTTGCAGTCAAGGTTTTAAGGGAAAATGTCTTAAAACTTTGGCAGGAACATTTTTAGACTTCCACCTAGATGTACCACACTTAGGACAAACATTAGCTCCTTCAAATTCCTTTCTATAAAGAATACAATCATTGGGACAAGCATGAATATTTATATAATCAAGACCTAAATTCTTCACTATATTCCTAGATTCATTAAATGATTTAGGAAGTTCAGCCATTGGAAATGCCTCTCTTAATAGCTCTAAAAGATCTCCAAAGGCTACATTGCTTAAGCCATTAAGGCACTTAAAGAGAAACAAACGAATTATGAAAGATAATTTCGAGAAGGTTTTACAGCCTGGATATAGCTCTTTCTTTCCTTCTTCCACTAAATGAAAAAACTTTCTAGCCTCCTCAATTGGCTCACTTTCAACCTCATGATCTCTATTTAGACCTTCACTGACATCTATAAAAGTATCATGTAGTAAGCCATCAATATCATCATGTGTACTTTGATTATTTACTTCATGGACATTTTGCCTATCATTACTTGTAAAAGAATATCCCTCCCTTTGCAAGACCCACTCCTTGAATCCCTTCACAAACCCATTAATAATCAAATGATCATACACGTCATCTCTAGAATGGCGAAAACGCCTCGAACACGTTTTACAGAGGCAAAATATTTGATCTCCAATGGCGTCCTTGGCAAAAGACTCATCAAGGGAATTCAACGCAACTTTAAAGTCCTCCGAACTTCTAGGATAGTTCATCCAATTATGATCCATAACTTAATTTAAGTCAATTCCTAAATTACACAAGCAAATAAATTTAGAGATCTATCTATATTATGAAATGAAAGAATAGACTTGTTAGATATTAATTGGAAAAATATACAGTGCTAAAGTTGAAAATAGAAATCTCAAGCAAATACATATAAAGATCATCAATGATATCTAAATACGTACACATATTAGTTATAAAGTTATATACTATAATCTAGTACATATAAAGTTATGATTATTAAGATCAAAAGTTATATATAAGAAGAGAATAATTAGTTTTACACACTAACTAGACTGAAAGTTACAAAGTCTTTAGATAAAACTTCAAATAATAAGAAACCACTAACTATGAATTAAAAGTTAGGTAGACATGATTCCATTTTATAATAATTCCTGACTAATAAGAAATTTGCTACTAGTCTATAAGGAACACTTACTTTGCATCACAATCTCTAGCTTATAACTATCTTTAGGTTCACATATGCTTAATCTCTTTAAAATATAAGATTGATAAAGTAAAATCATACTCTCTAAAATCTTTATTATTTGCGCACTATCAAATTTAACTTTAACTCACTTTTTAATGATTCTTCACATCATCTTGTCTGGTTGTCCTGATATAGTTTCAGTTATGTGATTCAATTCTAATGGATAATGAATAAAATCTAAACTTTACGTATCACACTAAATAAGTTGTAATGTTCTAACAAAAGTTCACTTTATTGCAATGCTTATGTTACTGCGAAAGTCATGTTCTTTAAGTGGCATTAATTAGTGAAGTAGTGGTTAAGTTAGTTGTAATCATATGCTCACAGGTAGATATTTATAAATTTCTAGTACTTCTTACGAACTAGTTTCTATATGGAGCGTACTTCTTAATTTTCCAATTTCCATATAATTGTAGATTTTAAGATATGATAAAAATAGAACTAATAAAAGGAAAAGGGATGATCATCATGCGTTTATGATGTGATTATAACTATTGCTTAACACAAATAATTACACCAAAACAACTTTAAGTTTGAGAATCATTTTTATTTAAAAATGAGAATAACTTATTTAAACTATAGCCTTTCAACTAATGAACATCAAGCTACTTATTGTGAAATATGATTTTGATTATTTGAGAGACAAGCCCTTGGTGGAACTTTTGTGTAACCATCTAAGGTAATTCCTGAAATTGTATTAAAAGAGAAAGATGGACTTAAATAGGGAAAATGAGGTACACAAATTTACAAGAGTTTTGGGCAATTCACTCGTACAACACACAGTTCCTTTTTTTTAACAAAAAAAAAATAAATAAAAAAAAATAAATAAAAAAAAATCACAAACTAGCAATTATGAGCAAGTGGAAACTGACTATTACTATTAATCTTTCCCAATATAGAAATTATAAGCAGGGTCACGATCTAGAGTATAAAATTAACCAACATGTCTAACAATCACAAAATTCTGTAAAATTATGCAAGTAATTTCTCCTTTGTTGATCTAATACTAACCAGCCACATGCAACTCACCAAGAAAACACATTAATTTACAAGAAAAACAAAATCTACGGTAAATCATAATAAATCTATAAATTAAATTGAATTATATGAACTCTCATAATCAAATTATACAATTCCCCAATTTACGAAACCCTAAATCCCCTGTTCAATACCAATAAGTTCCAACTACATAATTGTGATATCAAAATCAAATTGCAGATAAGTTATTCAAGAAAACATCAATTTAAACAACTAAATTACATACTAACCTTGTTCACTAGTGTTGAGAACAAACACCAAATTGACGACGAATTATGATAATGAAAGAATTTCAAACTCTGATTCAAGCAATTTCAACCCGCCTACAAAGAACTGTAATCTGACTTGAAACGAAAAGAAAGGGGGTTTGTGAATTATGTGCGAAATTTGAGAGGGATGAGTTGTGGGGGATGAACAGGGGGAATTGAAACGAAAAGAAAGGGTTTGTGAATTAGGAAAAGAAAGAGTATTTGTGAATTAGGAGAGGGTTTGTGAATTATGAAAAGAAAGAGGGAAACAAAAAAAAATTAGACCGCTTAATTGAAAATTTTCATGTTCCCCAGAATTTTCATGTACAACAAAAAAGACTGCTTAATCACTACCGAATACTCCGTATTACTTTTTTTTTATTTTTAAATTAGAAATTATTTAATTAATTAATCATTAATATCAACTTGCACCCTCTTGGTTAAACCGTTGCCAAATATTATCTTTTACTTATTCATTAAAAGCGTTGCCATTTTTTTCTCTATAGAACCAGATTTTAAATGAAAATGGTTAGTTATATCAGTAAATTAAAAACTGTTGCCACATGTCTACTTATAGCAACACTAATAAAACTGTTGCAAAAATGTGTGTTGCTATAGCCCTCTTTTGTTGTAGTTGGCTCTATCATTCCAATTTATTGCTCTTATCATTAGTCTTCACAACCTTGGATTGGCATGATCTTCCCAAGTTGTTGTAATTTACATGATTACTTGTTGATCCCCGTTCCTAGTATTTTATTTCCTTGGTTACTTTTTTGTTAGTTGTTAGTATTCTCTCTTACCTTTGGTTTTGACCTAGCTGAGGCACCCAAATCGAAAGCATTTGAACATTATCGTTTCTTTGGGTTCGACCCTTGACTTTCCTCTATGCTCGTGTTTAGGTTTTTTAAGTGTTTACAAATTTAGTTTGAGCGAGGGAGGATTAGATAACGACCTAGTTTTCCCCTCGTCACAAGCCAAAAAAACATGTAATCAAACAAAACAATAAAATGAGATAGAGTAAGAAATGCTCGTTGATAATAGAGAAGATCTTCAGTACAATTGTCACCATTGAATCTTCAATCTCTCAATCACCATTTAAATTCCTCACTTTTGCTCTCTAAATCTACTCCTAAACTAACCCTAAAACTAGAGAGAAAAGCTCTCAACCTAACCTAAGATATGAGAGAGAAAGTCTCCAAGCTAATCTAAAAATCGTCTTCAAAAATAGAAATGTCAAGACGAATTTATATTAAAATGAGCAAGGGGAAGCAGAGCAAACCATGCGCACGCACCACCTATCTGTGCGCACGCACATCAATTTAAGCCCTAGAACAATCTATGCGCACACACAAGCCACCCCATGCGCACAAACAGATGGGTCTGCGCGTACAAACCTCTATTGTGATGCACGAGGCCTAGCTCCCCTTGATTGCTCGATCGATCTTCGCGCTCTAGAGCATTCCTATTTAGTGCACTCGAGGCGATGCCCACGAGGATGGAAACCTTTTATTCTTCAAGCACTTGAACACTCCAAGCCAAAACATTGCTTCCATGGTGCTTGTGCTTGCAGAGCTAGCTTGAATTGCATGCTTGCATTCCCGAACTTAGCTCCATTAATTTCCTTGTATGCGCTTAAGTTTCCTCCTCGATAATTAAATTCCAAGAAACTCGACAAACCTATAAAACAAGTCAAAGAAAAGGAGAAGCGAGAGAAATAGCCGAGAAATGAATAAAATAATAGGAAAACCATCAAAAGCACACAATTCTCTAAACTTATACACAAACACGCAAATCAAGCATTATTATGTAAAAACACAACATAAAAGACTAAAAATGATCATAAAAATAGGAAGAAAACCTAGCCTAAGAGTGCCATAAATGGCACGCATCAAACTCCCCTAAACTAAACTTTTGCAAGTCCTCGAGAAAAACAAAAAAAAGGGAAAGAAAATGACGAGCTTTCAAACAAACAAATTAAAAGAAGAGAGGAGACAAGAATATACACCAACCCACTTTCGTAGGAATCACAGTATATTTTAGCAACAATCGACAAGCCATTTAAACCCCGAGATTGCCCTAAAATACGAGTGATGCTCTAATAAGGGTTTCCTAAGAGATTGACCCATAACTCCCACAAACCGAACAAAACAAAGAAAAGCACGAAAAAAGAAGCAAAAAGAAAAGAAAAGATCACAAATGTTCATGAATGGACTTTTAGAAATGTACAACCATAAATGAATACAAATCTTTCTAAACAAGTAAGGGAGTGCACGTTTCAAGATATCTAAGGTTGATTGAAACATAAGACATCCTAAGTATAGAGAACTACCAAGACTCTGTTCACCTACATCTCAAAACACTTTTAGCACATTCTCCCAATTGGCTTCAAATCTACTTTTAATTAGCATCTCTATAGTTCCTTGAAGGAACCGGAAAAAGAAATAGATTGTTTGAGGTTTCTCGACATATTGACGTTGCATCCCCTCTCCTTAGGCTTTAACTCATAATGCCCACCCCAAATATGTGACTCAACCTCTAGGTCAAAAGGGCTTTCCCAAAGGTTGTAACGTAAGGGCAAAAGGGTGAGGGAAGGCTTAAAATTTGGAATTTGGTGGTATTTCCTAATTAGTGAAACAAAAGGGTGATAAAACGTTCTCCTTATAACCAAGTAATCACCAAACAAAAACGAACCAACACCCCCAAGCTTATTCAAAGCTATAACCACAATCATATATACAAAAAGCGTAAGAACGCTTCCCCCTAAGCTTGAACAAAGCATTTTCCTCAATGCTTAAAATAGGGAGAAACACTTACAACAAAATGTTTTTGAAAATTTTCATTTTTTTTACTTTTTTTTTTTAATTTTTGCCAAAGCTTTCTGAATTTTCTTTGCTTTTTCTCATTTTTTCAATTTTTACATTATTCAGTTTATTCATTGTCCTTGCCTCTTTTAACTATGGACGACCTTTTCAACTTTGCATTTGAATGTCCTTGCCTTTTTTAATTTTGGACAACTTTTTCATTTATTCAATTCCCATTGTTCACAAGATATACAAAACACAAGCTTGCTTAAAAATAAGAATCAATATCTAAACTCATATACAACAATCTCCAAGAACATGATCATTTGCTTCACAAAAACAAAAAATGGAACAAAAAGAGAAAAAAAAAGGCTCAAAGTTCTAAAGATATATGGCTTGAAAAGAAGGGAAAAGGCTTAAATAGTTAGCAAATGGAAACCCAAGAACAAAAAATAAAGAAGGTTATCCTAGAAAAGAAAAAATTACCATCTCAAAAAGATGCCTATGTCCTCCCTAGATGGTTCGGTAGTGTGTGAGGGAATTTTAAATCAAGATTAAGATTAGGTCCGCAATAGTCAAGGATCCATGCCGCTCATTCAAGTAATTGTAGAAGGCTTGAAAACTATGAAACCTCACAAGGATGTGGAAAAAACTCACTAAAAGCTTCAATTTACCAAAGGGGAACAATTACGAGTTTTCAAAAATAAGAGAATTAGTTTCAAGGTCCCAATAGTTCTAAACAACTACCTTAGCATGTCCTATCCTAGAGTTAACCAAAGATTCTCTCAAACCGTGCACACCGTTATCATTTAAGAAGAAAAGCATTCAAGTATACAAGTCGGAAAAGTATTATTTCAAAAGCAAGAACAAAACAAAACACAATGCAAATTTGCCTAGAAGAATTCAAAATCTTTTTGGAGTTTTTCAAGATTAAGAACATGGAAATGCATATACAAATGGGCATATCATATATGAATCAAAATCCACCAGACATGATAGGATACCCTCCCCCAAGCTTGAATGAGATAACATACTCAAATCATAAATCAAATAATCCACGGGAGGGGAAAAGAAAGAAATCAAACCAACAATCCCAACACATGTCCAACAAGTTATCAACTATTAGAGAAAGAGCAAGGAATGATATTAACAGATGTTAGGTGGGTGTAAATTCCCGCAAATGACCCAAATTAACCTTTCAAAGTCTAGTTCATCTATCATTGAATCTTGTTTTCCATATGCTAGCAAAATAGGAGTCAATCTTCCTTGATTCTAGATTCAAAACAATGCACCTATGTATATCAAGTCATGTACCTAGCAAAAGGAACACAAAAATTTCCATGAGAAAAAATCTATTCTAAAAGAAAAGAAAATGAAAGCAATAAAACACGGGTTACTTCCCGAGAAAGGCTTGCTTATGGTCCAAGCTTGACCACTCTAGTAAAATAGTAATCCAACGAACGCAAGAGCTTGTCAAATGCACTACTACACATTTCATTTGAAAGTAAGTATGCACATGACAAAGATAAGGCATGCAATAAGCTTAGTGCACACCTATGAGGAGAGAGATGTCAAGAGAAAGATGGAGAATCAAAAGAAAATTCAACAGAATAAGAAAAGGAAAAAGAAGAAGAAGAAGAAGTAGAAGAAAAAGAATAAGGCAAACTCTCCTCACAATATTTTGGGTGGCATAATCATCCTTTTTTTCAAAACGTAAGAGGGTCCCCAATAGGCTCATTAACAAAGGAAGGGAGAGATATAGGAGTGTAGGGGATATGGTTAAAATTCCTAGAAAAAGGGACATGAGAAAAGGGAAAAAGAGTAGCTACTCCTCACCATCATGCCTCACATCACCAATAAGAGCACGAAAATCAATTGAAGAGCACTCATGATCTCCATCTCCTTCAAACATCCAACTTCCAAGATGCACTACATAATCCCCTCCATCACAACTATGTACAACAATTCTCTCAACATCTTTAAAGCCTAAAGTCTCAAAAACATGCATGAATGGATGCAAATTCATTTCAAACTCATCTCTCTCCCATGAAGAATTCTTAATAAACTCACTCAAAAGGCTATGAGTTTTCATTTGACACTCAAAACACA